CCCTTCTCTCTCCCACTCAGACAGCCTCTTCCCTCCTCACCGCCGCTGGAAGCTCAGTTGACCAGCGTCGCAACTGGGCGATGCGCCTCCTGGAGAGCCTCTTTACCTTTTTGCAGCGGATTTGACATTCACATCGCAGCTTACGTCCTGACATCTGAATGACATTTAGTTTACCCCCTTCCCCGAAACACTTCCTCGGTGATTTCTTTAGCTCACGTCACTCTAAATTTGGGAGAAAACTAGTCACAGGACAAGGTTTAAGGTTGCATATCTGAAAACTGAGCACTCGCAACATCTTTTTTTCCTGTTGAACGATCCCCTTGTGGGAGGATTTGCTTTCAAAATACCGATTTCCAGCCAGAGACAACTGATAACTTAATCGAAGATGGTACGGGAAACGCCGGACAAACTCGCTTGATTTTGGTCATTTGTGTCCTCAGTTTGTGTCTTTTGGAGGCTCGAAAGCATCTTCAGACAGACTACCAGTAGCAGAGGAGGCTGTTTCGCTGTCTACGGGCTGTTGTAAGGTAAATCCAAACGAGATTCAGCTGTTGTCTTGTCTTTTTTTATACTAACACAAACCCTCAATCGCTTGATGTTCCTCTGTTACTGGTTTAAAATGTCTGTGCTGACCAATATTGGTCATGATTATATTTTTATGGGGACAAAGAAAATGGGGACAACTGATTTCAACCTTTATTAAACATCATAGCCTTGGATATACAGTGTGAAGCACAAAAATGCTGTAATCAGTGTAAAAAATTAAGTCCATATCCACTAAAAGTAAAGTAAATGTATACATCTAATTTCAATCATTTAATCATCTCACATTTAAAAAGTGTTACATTCTCCTCCTCATCTACAGCTCTTTACCAAAGCGAAGCTCCTCAAGGTTCTGTCCTGGGGCCCTGTATAAACCTGATATAAATACAGAAGGCTCACTTTTTTTCCTGATTGGTATTGGCCCAGCAAGTGGAAGAAGAGAGCATGTGTCCCATTAATCTCAATTACTAATTGATTTTTTTAGTTTAAAAAAAGAGAAAAAGATCAGGAATCATTTTAATAACTGATAAATAGTAAGTGATTTTTAATAGAAAATACAAAATATTCGCTGGTTCCAGCTTCTTCCAGATTTTCTGCTTTTTTTTCTCTTATGCGATACTAAATTGAAGATCTTTGAGTTGTGGACTAATTCCAGGCAAAATAATTCCTTTGACGATGTCACCTTGAATTTTGGGCAATTTATTTTTTTATATTTTATGGACAAATTGCTTAATGATCACAATAATTGACTGATTAATCAATAATAAAAAATAATCACTAGTCACAGCCCATGTTGCATTCTCTTCCTCTAGCTCATCTCAGATATGGAGCTCCTCAAGGGTCTACCCTGGGCCCTCTGTTGTTGTTCTTGTATGTACTCCTGCTTGGGAAAAACACAACTGATAAATGGATGGCACAAACATAAACATACACCAGATATTTGCTGACTTGATTACATATTGGAATATTGATTTTGAGCACATGAAAGTCATACATATAAGAACATGACAGCATTATTAGTTCATTCATATGGTTTAAAGCCTATATGTTCATTCACAAAGCAGGAAGGAGTTTGAGAGAATTTAAAGTCTACGTTTATGACACACACACCTAGACAGGCACACACTCCTGCGTACACCCCCACTATAAAAACTTCCAAGTTAAACAGGGTGGAGACGAGACCTTTACTTCCCCTTTTCTTGCCTCCCAGCAGTTTGGTTCATCAAATCCCACAAGTCCTCCACCCCCATGACACCACTGCCCATCACCGATCATTACTCCTCATCCTCCCTAAAAGATGAGTGTGCCTCCCATTAGAAAAACCTCCTAACTCCAGCTGTGCTGATTTCCATGCTTTTACTTAAGCTGAAACTCTGGGGTCCCAACAGGCAGGGCAGGTTCAGGGAGTGATTCATGGGTGCGCCAGTTCCACTTGAGCCCCTTCTTTAGTTTTCTGAGATGCATCATGGTGGTCTGGGTGAAGACTTTTTGAGGAAGGGAGGTTTTTTGTGTGACGGCAGCAGTTTGCAGGTTGCAGGCTCGTTGCATCATGCTGTTCTCTAAAGGTTGGACAGAGGCTCATGGATGGATTTAAAAAAAGGCTCAGAGCCAAGCAAGCTCCTTTCCTGTTGTTGTTGGGTGCGTCTGCCTTACAGCCTACTTCCACCCACACTGTCTGCTGCAGGGTGGGAGTGTTGCTCACACATATGGCGTGTGTGTGTGTGTGTGTGTGTGTGTGTGTGAGTGTTATAATAGGTGTATGTCGAAAGGAAGGATAGAAGGTAGGAAGCTTGCAAAGAATAATAGAAGATGAAATAAGAATGTAATGAAAGGACTAAGAAGAAAGCGAAAGTAGGAAGAAAGTAAAAGAATGAAAAAGAAAAAAGAAAGAAACATGTCAGAAAAAAAAATGGGTGAAGAAAGCGATGGAGCCAGAGAAAGAAAGAAAGCAAAGGAGGCAAAATAATGTTAAAAGCAAGTTAGGGAAGGAAGAAAATGGAGTAAGTAAAGTAAAAAGAGAAGGAAGAAAACAATGGAAGAAAGAAGGAATGGCGGAAGGAAGGAGTAAAAATAAGAATAAGAAGAAAAGAAGAAAAGAAAAAAGTTAAAAGTAAGAAATAGGTGAAGGAAACAAGGGTAAAAAACAAAGAGAGAAAGAAAGCAAAATAAAAGTTAAGGAAGAAAGTGAATTAGGAAAATAGGCAGAAGGAATGAACAAAACGAAGAATGACTGAAGGAAGGATTAAATAAGGTATGGAAGTAATACAGGAAAAAGAAGTGAAGGAAACAAAGTGGAGAAAGCAAAGAATACTGTTATGGAAGCCAATAATGCCAGAAAGAAAGACAGGAATGAAAAACGAAAAAAAGGAAGGAAACAATTGTAGCAAGAACGAATGAAGGACAGAAAATGTAGCAGACAAAAGTGCAGTAGGAACGACAGAAGACAGGAAGAAAGAAAGAAGGAAGAGAAGGAATGAAAAAGGAGGAAGGAAAGAAGTGAGAAAGGTAAAATAAACAAAACGACAGCCAAAGAAAGAAAGTGAAGAAAGGAGGGAGGGAAAGAAGGAAGAAAGAATGTAAAGTAAGTAAATTAAAGGCCAATGAAATTAGTCATAAGTAAAGGACATAAAGAAAGACCCCAACCCAAACTGATAGTTAAACAGGGAGACCTGTGGTGACTCCTCCATCCCTCTCCTCCTCCTCCTCATACCTCCAGCCCTCCCGTGCTCCCCAACATGGGACCCCCCACTGAAGCCCCCTGTGTGGCTGCTGGCCTCGGCCCTCTGTTGTCTCCATACTTTGCCTGCTGTTTGCACATGATGGGTTCAGCGGGTTCAGCTCAGCTATAAAAGCACCACTCCCCCATTTTCTCCCCTGGAGCAGGGGCAGGAGTTAGCAGGCCTCATATGGGAAGGAAAGGGGGTGGGAGGAGGTGGCGGAGGAGGAGGCCTCCCCTGGTTCTCCTCTTTTACATAACTCTTTTTGACTTTATTTTCTCCTCTCCTCTCCCTTGGCTCGTTGGCTGGTTGTGGTATCGTTCTTGAGCCCAGCCCTGGACCAGACATTCATTTTTCTCCTCTTAGTTTCTAACCACTAACTAACCACTGGCTCCCTGCATCTCCCCCCTCCTCCTCCCCTCCAACGTAGGAATGTCTTATTCACCTCCTCTCTCTGTCTTCCCTCTCTGATTCTTACATGCTTAAAGCTTACATGCATCCGTGCCAACATCTGCAAATAAACAGACAAATGTACACACATGCTTTGAGCACACGTAGCTTCGCCAGCGTGCTCACACAATTTAGTAAACACACGTGCACACACACACACACACACACACACATACACACATTTTGACATGCAAAAGGGAGGACCATGTCAGTATGTGCCG